CTTGAATTGTAACTCGACACTAGATTAGCCCCCGACTAGCAGCTTCAATTTGTCCCTTTCGTTTTCCTGAACGTTCAGAAGTACTTTTGCTACAATACCCAGTCTTTTCCTTTTATAATATCTATGGAATCACGTAGGACTTCTTAATAACAATATTGCAAAGGTCATACGTCAATACACTAAAAGGAGTAACTTGCCATTGTAGTCTATCAGAACGATTCCTGTATTTTTCCGTAATTTTATTTTCGCACGTCAAACTCTTTAAGAGGACAGAGCAATACAGCGGTTCGTTCAGCTGGAAAACCAAGCGTAAGAAGATGCAGCTTGTTCACCAGAGATGTAGAAGAATAGAATGCTTCTAAACCAATGGCATCCTGCAATTTCGTCACATATGATGCCACTGTATATGTATCTTAGCATCTTCCATCTGTAGAAAGTCCATTGAGTATTGGACTGGAGATGTAAGCCCTACGATAGAAAAAATCAAGGAATACAATGCTATAACACCAAACGCACTCAAGAAACGTCCCTCCAAACATAAGACCTGATTCAATGACGCACGCTACATTAAGTTCACTGAACTCTCTCAGCACACTGGCGTTATACAGTATTAAAACGTATACATTCAACATCACGTGGTTTACTGGGAAGCATCACCTTATTCCAGCAGTGAAAAGAGTTGCATGCTGTGTCGCAATGCAGAAAAAGCTACAGGAAACTTAAACCGAGACTCAACGTTGTGGCTAGCTGAATGATACAATCTACAAACTATCAGTTTTAATCTGATATAATAGTGCTTGGGTTGAAAATTTTTAAATGCTCATCATAGATTTTTTCACTCGGTTTTAAGACCTACAGAATCGCTTAGCAATTATTAGATGCGTTATAATATACATCATTATAGTATAAATTTTGCATATCAAATGAGCTTTCGCGCTTTCTGATAGACTAGTTGACTAGTAAATCTGAATTAGCATAATTTACTAGCAGACTAGTATAATTACTGTCGTTCCAAATTGAAATGTTGCTCAAATATTGATTCAATACATTACCTCGGACTGACCAATTCATTTGATCAAGTTCCTCGAGATATTCATACACTTCCTGTGAAAGAGCCAATTCCAAGTATTTGATCATTTCTGGTCACTTCCTTTCTATTTATGATTGGTTAGTTGCACAAACAACAAAGGTGATTGGTGCATTCAAACTATTCAACAGGAAGTTTACAATTATACTAGGAAGTGTATGAATATCTCGAGGAACTTGATCAAATGAATTGGTCAGCGCGAGGTAATGTATTGAATCAATATTTGAGCAACACTTCAATTGGAACGACAGTAATGCTTTTCAAAAAAAGTGATTAGGCAAATTTGGTTTCAAAATCGACAAAATATTGAAAAAATCGTCCCCAGAAAACGAAAGAAGCACAAAATGTTGTATTTAACTTGAAAGGTAGGATTCCTTTATTATTTTACTGATCAAACATATTCACATTTCACAGACAATTTTAAACTTATTTAAAACTCCGAAACATTCACTTCAAACAATAACAAACACTATATCCCACTGTTGGGAAAAACCTTGCCGTGATATTTTTTTAAATCCATTTTGTTTTGTATCCTATAGATTTCTCAATTTGTACGATACTATTTCTTTTGATATTTTCATTGCGCTGTATGGCGTTCTGACCGCTGTATTGTGTTTTCGAAACTTTATTTCGAGGCATTCGAGCAATAGGTTTAGATTCTATTTTACCAATTTTCTCAGCCACTTCCTGAACAAATTAATGCTAAAAAGAAACGATTTTTTAATTCTAAGACTGGTGAAAAAGTCATTCCGTTATTGTATAAAATTGTCTGTACCAGTGCAGGTGTCACAGCGGATAGTGTCTCCCCGCGGATAGTGTCCCCCTCGGACAGTATCCCCCCTTTAATTACTTTGCCGCGGATAGTGTCCCCCATGCACGCGAAAGTCAAAAACAAAGGCTCATCTTTGAAAGAAAATATATTTATATAAAAACCATTTGCAAGCAAAGTTAGCACAAGAATTTAATTATATAAAGATGACAGTATTTCATAACTAAAAGCTTGCAGCCTACTCTCAATACAACGGCGAGTGGGCAACTGTAGTCTGTAAAGACCATCTCTATATACACGTCAGTTGCTTTCTATGTGTTTTTATGCATGTGAGTCATCCAGCCATTGTGCTTTTGTTTACGCGGAATGCGTGGAATGCTTTTGAGTAATCCAGCCATTGTGTACGTAGCCATTGTGCGCCGTTGTTTTTTTGGAGTCATTTAGTTCATTTACTCGATGTTAATGACTCAAGTTGTTGATTTTTCCTCCACTTTCTTGACAAACACATATTAAACACGATTATTTATTTTTGTGGGAGAGGGGTTCGGGGTTGTGAAGAGTCCATTAACAGTATATGACAAGCATCATGCCTACTCATATGTCACACCCTATTAGCTGCACTGATTCTGAACTGGCTGCTGATAATCTGACCAAGATTCACTTGGACAGTCCTAACCTGACCAACTGGAGCACGAAACCCCAGTATGGACAGTCCTTACCCTGACCAATCGGAGCGCAAAACCCCTATGGACAGTCCTTAACCTGACCAAAGGCACTAAACCCATATGGCCAGTCCTTAAACTGAACATGGGGGGTAAACCCCCATGGACAGTCCTTAGATTTAGATATATTATGTGTGACATATATTGAGTCTATGGGCCTGAAGTTGACATTTTATGGAGACTTCATCCCCACAAATACACAGAATGTGTATTCCCCATAGACGAACCCTCCCCCCGAAACATTGATAGTTCTTTAGCGGTTAGCACATCTGTCAAAGTGGCTGATACCCCAGATAGAGTTGCAAGACAGCTGCTGCCAGACGAAAGTTTGACATATATTTGAGCGTTACCATCACTCATACTATAGCTGGATAGTCAGGGAGGCCAGAAAAAATCTGGAATATACAGGAAACCTGGATGGGGCCAAGACAACCAGCAGCTTCCCCACAAAGCTTCTATATTACAAGTTCTTAACTGGAGGGTTGGTAACACGACAAACAAAGCTCACCATCAAGGCACATTTTATTTATTTAAAAGTCACATCACGATAAATATTAATTTTTAATTGCAGTTCTTTTCACGAATAATCACGATTTCTTTGAAGATTCAATGGTTATTGTTTATATTTATAGAGCGATCTAATTAATTGTGACAATATATACCCACTCCCCCGACCCTAGTAAACAATACGCCATTTTACGCAAAATCAGCGGGTCACGTGACCAGGCCATACCAGGGTATTTCGCTCCCCAAGAGCAAATACCCTGGGTACGAAGTTGGTATAGGATTCCTTTATTCAGTTTACTGTTTCAAACATATTCACGGACAATTTAAAAGTAAACTTATTAAAACTCAGAAACATTCACTTCAAACAAATAGCAAAAACTATCCCGACTGTTGGGCAAAACCTTGCCGTGATATTCTTTTAAAACCATTTGGTTTTGTATGGTATACGTATATCAAATTGTACGATACTATACTGTATTTCTTTTGATATGTTATGTTTTTATTGTGCTGTATGGTGTCCTGCCGCTGTACTGTGTTTTCGAAACTTTATTTCGAGGCATTCGAGCAATTGTTTTACATTCCACTTTACCAATTTTCTCAGCCATTTCCTGGACAAATCAATGCGAAACAGAAACTATTTTTTAATTCTAAGTCTGGTGAAAAAGTCATTCCATCATTCAAAGTCATTCTAAGCAGAAATCGAGAAAAAACAACATTGGAATAAAGCAATATAAAAGTCACACATTTTATTTCTGAATTTCAATTAAAACTGATATTTGGATATTTTGTTTTATTCATTAAAAATTTATACAATTATTCGCCTCAGTGATTACGGTGATTACGATATTCAGTGGTAATCACTTCGCCTTCGGCATATTCACTAAGACGAAGTCGAGGTGAATATATTCCCCGATAATCACGGAGCCTGAGGCGAATAATTGTTTTAGTAGTTTTACACAAGTCTGAATTGGGACTGAATTTATTTTAATTTCCCTTTAATATTCTTTATCAGTAGAGACCTTACGATTTTAGAACGGCAACGCGACGGCGACGGCCAAAACAAACTGCTTCAAATTAATGGAAGTAAACTTAGTTCGTGGTATATTATCAATCGTATGAATTTAATACAGTTCTGGAAGTTGAAGACATGGGTTTTATAGTTGGTGAGAGTTCTGCTCAACCCAGTTTAAAATTACACTTGTTGAGCTTTGAAATGCAGCCGTTATATCAAGACGCGAAAATTTGTGATTTAGCGTTGTAAACAGAGCGAGCACAATGTCTAATTTATTCATATATTGTAATTACTCAATTCTTTTTAATGATCTATTGTATTCGCAGCGGTTGCCCTCGCGTTGCCGTCCTAAAATCGTAAGGCTTCTAGTAACTTCCACAAAACGGCTAGCCTACATTTTTCAAATTGTGGGAATATAACAAAATTCGGTAGCTAATTCGCGCAGGATGATCAATCAACTGTGTCAGTTGAAATAAATTAACTATATCTTAAATCCTTTGGTGTGATTGCTTAAATTGTGGGGTAGAAGATCACAATTTACATCGCCAACAATAATTAGATCTTTCTATTCGTTTTCAAGGTTTTTGAAATAATACTTCAATTCTATCAAGAAATTCTATTGGCGAATTCTGTGGCCTATATTCCGAGCTAGTATTGTTCGATGCTGAATTAGTATAAACGAGTATGTTTATGACATTTAGTATATATTTCATAATTTCCAGTCTTAAATCCGTCTGACCGCGTAGCTCAGTTGGTAGAGCGTCGATCTAGTAATTCGAAGGTCGCGGGTTCAAGACCCAGCCGCGGCAGACAACATCTTTCTGCTTGCGCTGGGTATGGAAATTATATAATGCACACTCTAGAACATTTTCATCTTAACATATTATGGAGTGTACAATTAGACAAATTCACACATATATAATAATAATTTATTAATTTGTACCGCGCTAAAACTATAGAATATTCTAAAGCGCTTAATTGCATAAAATAGGAAACTAATTTAAAAATTTCCCTACGTTATTACACAACATTTAACTACTATAAGCATCTATTTAAAAATATTTTTAAAACAAGAAGTATTATTAATGTACGCATCTCTATACAAAAATGTCTTAAGATTTGTCTTAAAAGAATCCAACGAAGGTGAAAGCCGAATCTCACACGGTACTAAGTTCCATAGAGTAGGTCCTGCTTTCAAAAAGGCAGGATCACCAAAAGACTTTCTACGTGTGCTTGGAACATGAAGAAGCTCCAGTTCGTCCGATCTCAAAGAGTAGTTAGTACTTTGTTTATAAGTCAACATGTCACGAATATATTTGGGAGCCAATCCATGTAAAGCTTTATAAACCAACAGTACGATCTTGAATATAACACGGTATTTAACCGGTAACCAATGCAGTCTCATTAATGTAGGTGTAATATGATCAAACTTAGGTACGAGACATACAACACGAGCAGCAGCGTTTAGCACTTTCTGCAATCGATTTAATTGATATTTTGGAATTCCATACAGCAAAGAATTGCAATAATCCAAATGGATAATAAATGCATGAACTAAAATTTTGGTAGCATCGTCAGTTAAGTATTTCCTGATTTGTTTGATTTATTGGTAAAGGCTTCGAAAGGCCTTGCTGCAGATTTTGCTAATATGCAAATTCATGGACATATGAGTATCTAACCAAGACCCAAGATCACGAACAGAGCCTACTGGAGAAATCAATACTTCTCCTACCCTCAATTTGTCAATCGATACCTTGGATAATTGCTGACGAGAGCCAATAATAATAAATTCTGTCTTGCTACTTTAAATAAAAAGACGATGTGCAGACATCCAGTTTCGAAGCTCATCAATACAATCTTCCATTGCTTTAACAGCTGACTCCTGATGCAATGAGTTCTGAGGTTTAAAAGAAAGATACAATTGTGTGTCATCTGCATAAGCATGATGACAAGGCAGATGTTTAGAAATAATTTCAGAAAGGCCAGACACGTAAAGTAAAAATAGAACAGGATCCAGGCAGCTGCCTTGGGGAACTCCAGTAGCAACCATAAACTCGGAGGACTTACACCGGTCAATGACAACTTGCTGCTTTCTATTAGCCAGATACGATCTAAACCACTGAAGTGCGCTGTCCACTACTCCAAAATCATTCTTGAGGATATCAATAAGAATATTATGGTCTATATAGTGTCAAAGGCAGCACTCATGTCGAGCATAACAAGCAACGTAACCTCTTCGTTGTCCATATTAATAAGTATATCATTCTGCACTTTAAGCAGCACAGTTTCAGTTGAATGGAACTGACGATATGCTGATTGACTGACAGGCAGTGGTGCATTTTCGTTACAATGATTAACTAATTGCGACATGACAACTTTCTCAGCTACCTTTGCAAGAAAATGAAGATTATTAACAGGTCTAAAATTTTCAAACACTAAATCCATACCAAGTTTCTTAAGACGGGGATCTACAAGTGCCAATTTTCAGGAACTATTCCTTTCTCCAGCGACATGTTGATCATTTTTGTAATTATCGGACACAGAACATCACAGCAATCCTTAAGCAAATAAGTTGGTATTGGATCAAGTTGACAAGACGCATTGGATGCTTTCGAAATAACTCCTCGTATATCATCTTGCGACACAGGAGAAAAGGATTTAAGCAATACTTTAGGTAAACGATGTTCAGTAGTTATCGGATTAACATCAATCTTATTAATTTCGTCATTGATAAGTTCAATCTTTCGACCGAAAAATGTTCCAAATTCGTTCGCCAGAATCAATGGATCCTCATAAGGTGGTAAACTTTCAGATGACTTCTGTTTGGACAATGAATTGATAACACGAAACAATTCGTTAGAATTGCCTGAGCATTTGTCAATTAAATCAGAATAATAGCTAGTCTTTGTTTTACGAAGAAGGGCACTGTATTTATCTCTAGTCTTATAATAAAGCTCTTTATCATGGGAACAACCAGATTGAAGCATTTTTCTTTCGCATTTCCGTCGTTCAGCTTTAAGCTTTTTAAGATCATCAGTGATGATGATGATGTCATTTGTAGGAACACGATAAAATTATTTTAGGCGATTCCCCTGTTGACCAGGAAATTGTTATTATGAAATTCCCTCACAATTACTTCAAAGTGTTATGTCTAATTTGAATTTGAAAGGGACAACTTTATTTCATACACCCTGTATTTCACAACTATCTGCAAGTTATTTGTGAACAAACTTGTCTTGGAGGTTTGAATTACATACATTAGTGGTTAGCGCACTTGCCTTTCACCTCTAACGCCGCAGGTTCGAATCTCAGTGAGAACTTCTCAATGTGACTGGAACCCAGTCCTCGTGTGAAAAGAGTAAAAAGTCAACGCTCTGCCGAAAGTCGTGGGTTTTCTCCGGGTACTCCGTGTTTCCTCCCACAGGGAAAGTTGACAGGGTGGGTTAGGCACATAGGTCTGGAGGCAGATCATTAATGAGATATGGACTAATAGCGGCTGCTCAAGCGTCATTTGTAAGCTCAAAGTCTACCTCGGTCTGCTCACGTCAGTCCGGTTCTATCTATCTATTCATAATGTAACCAGTCACTGAAAAGCCCTGATAGGGAGTGTGCTGTGAAATATCTGTATCTGTAAATCTACTTCAAATGCAATCACTGGCAAACTCCATAAACTTCAGGGAACATATGTCATTAAACGCAGTTAATTAATTCAAACTAGTCACTCCAATCGTATTTTTTGCGCTTGGCTTTTACCTTTTAGCTTTGTCGGAGGACAACCTTTAAATGCAATTAGCTGTTACTTTAAGACATGAACAGGAACGACTGCAAAAAATGCAGCACAAGGTCCTCTGGTAGGAATTGAACCTACGGCCCTGCGATTCCGGTGCTGCGCTCTAACCATGCAACTGAACAACAGAGTACTGTTGAGCTGTAACCATGCAAGCTCGACATTGAGTTATTCTCCCGCGAGCATAAGAAGCTCAACATGATTCAATGTATTTTCTAGCATAACGTAATGAACAATAGTGTGACATTGTGTGCTGCATGGTCCCAGAGGACCCTGTAGGAAAGCAGCATATAAGGATGGAATATATAAGAGTTGCTATTCAAGGCATTTCCTCAAGCCGATTAACTTCAGTTGTTATTGCAAACTGTAAATTTAAGCTTACATGCAAATGTAATGTTAGCATGTGGTGCAACATGATAATAATAGTGATGTAATTTTGCGTCCGATGTCACGGCAAATAGAGATGCCCACCTTCTACAGGGTGTATAAAAAAAAACGCAACCTCGGAATTTCCTAAGAAATCACTTTGCAATTCTTAAGCATAAAAGATTTTAGGCCCTTGGGAATTGAAATCGAATTGCTAATAGATCATATTACTGTTGTTGTGCATTAAATAAATGCATAAATTTTGCTTTATGCACTCGCG